TCAGAACATAGCATTGTTTTCACAAAATTTGGTCATACTTTTAGCTAATGATGAAGTAATATTTCAAGATAAGAAAGATAATGAAAGTGAGGTGGGTCCTTGCCTTCTCAGATGTGTAATGAGCTAAGAGGAAGATATGTAATTTAGTATTGTTATCAGGCAATGCTAAACAACAGCTTACAACATAAGAGGAAAGTAAAGCAAGAAAGAAAAACAGGCAGAGAATCGTGTCTTTCTTCTTAATGGTGATACACATTTTCGTATGCAAAAAAAGATAATGATCTTATTTATTATATCTGAAATTTAAAAGCAAATGTATTCTTATATGTAGTTTAATGTATGTTACTTGTGTGAGAAGGTATACCATTTTTATATGGAAAAATTCAAAGTGAAATTACCACATGTTAAATAATGATTGTGTCCTTGGGGGATTTTAGCAAATGCTAAGGTACTTTTGAAAAATACTTTTTCTGGAGTAGAAAGCTAAATGGGAGGAAATAGAATTTTTTTTATATAAGTTGGGAGTAGGAGATTAACAGGAGGAGAGGGAATTTTTTAGACAGCAGATGTGCAGTGAAAAAGAGAAATCCTCCATGATCAAGTATACGTTGCCATTCGAAGCAAGGTTTGAATAGCAACACATACACAAGATGTCCTCTTAGAGTAACCGGGAGGATGAAAAGCCTTACCAACCCATATGTGGATGTTGAAGGGGAATTTAGCTTCACAATTGGGTGCAAATAGGAGATATTTAAGTCGGAGATCCCTTTTGTTGCTTTTGATAATCTATCTACTTCTGTCACACGGTAAAGAGTCGATGGACCTCAGGTCGGTTTCAAATGTCCTTGGAGTATAGTAGGTATGGATTATTGAGTATTGGGTATTGATATTGATTATTGAGTATATTGAGTATTGATATTGTTATTAGTTGTTAGTAGTAGCACTGTTGTATCTTAGTTTTTCTTATTAATGCTAGATATGTACGTAAGGCTGAGTTAGGAGTAGATCAGGAATGAAAATTTGTAAGTTTTGGGAGGGTTTCATAAAGTCTTTTTGATTGAAATATTGAAAATTATTTGCATTTTGGTGAAGTATATATGTTTGGATATTTTGTGAAGTCGGACTTTCTTAGGAAGCATTACTGTGAATGTATTATGTTTTTTTGATATATGCTTTGAGATTGATAGTGACTGCTAAGTTCGTTCCATTAAGTCATAATTTTCATTATTATTGTAATATTTTATTTTATTGCTGTTACTGTTATTTTTAGTTCTTTCATCACATTACATAATCCCCACCATTTCACCACCACCACCACCACCTCCACCTCTACCTCCATCTTCATCTCCACCTCCACCTCCACTCCACCTCCACCTCCACCTTCACCTTCACCTTCACCTCCACCTGCACTTCCACTCCCACCTCTACTCCCACAGCCACCTCCTTTTGATTGTCATCATCATATCATTGTTATAATCATTATTCTCACATTCATAACCACTTTATCACCACATTAAACTCAAACCCAAATACACCATTATTTTTCATCTCCCAGTGGTTTGAGGAGAAGACACAGCAGATTGAGAACCTGGATGCTCAGTTGCGGAAACTCCACGCAGCAATGGAGGGCCTAGTGGCCTACCGACGGGAGCTTGCAACTAGCACAGCCTCGTTTGCCAAATCGGCTGCTGTCCTGAGCAGCGTAGAGGAGCACTCAGCCCTGAGTCGAGCCCTCCACCAACTGGCCGAGTCCACTGAGAGGACGCATACTATTCATCATGCTCAGGTCAGCAGGAGGATACTGAGATATGTATTTTTTTTATTTTTGCAATACTAAACAAAACTTGTTTCAGGTGTCCTTTCATTTTGTTACAATAGAAATTAAAGTTACTGTATTGCATATCTATTATTGTGAGAGTAAAGATTCCTTTCTTCAGTTTGATTCATATGTATTTAATGTACATATTTCTTACTTTAAAGACATTTTTTATTTTTAGGCTGATGCAGACTTCTACCATTTGAGTGAGACCACCAAAGACTACATCCATCTCATTGGAGCTGTGAAGGTATTATTGTCAGATAATGTTTTGGATTTTTGTTTGAGAGTTCATGGAAGTTTTAGGTGTATGGTACAATTCTTCCCCCTTATTCCTGTCAGGATAAGAGGGAAGATGATGGTCAACATTCAGAATAGAAGTTTCAAGAAGACACAACATAGGTTGCATAAGCATGAATGCTAAATATTTTTTCCAAGAAGAGTTTGTTACTTACCATGTTGAATGTGGGTACATGTCAAAGGGTTGCAAAAAATAAATTAATAAATAAAGGCTGAGTTATGACGAGACATTTGATATTTGTATAGAAGAAAACAAGGAGAGAGAGTAAACTGTATATAACTGTATATCATTTGTTCTTTCACTGGTAAAATGCAGGATAGAACTGCAGGTGAAATACAGTATAGAATATGTACAAATACCATTACATATAATAATATCCTTAATTGGAATCACCAACTTTCAGGATGTATTCCATGAGCGTGTCAAGACATTCCAGACCTGGCAGCATGCACAGACAATGCTGGCCAAGAAGCGCGAAGCCAAGGCCAAGGCGGAACTAGCTGGCCGGATGGACAAGGTTCAGCAGGCCCAGGATGAGGTGGCTGAAGTAAGTAGCAATGGTAGATTTTATAAGCTGTAGTCTTGTTTGAGTTGAATTTCTTTTAATTTTTAAGGGTTGAAAAGATTGCTGTGATAGGTAATTGTTTGAAATTGAAGTGATTTATTTTGAACTGAAGCTAGGAAGTATTAGGTGGTTTTGTGTAAAGTTATGTTGAGTTGATATCCAGGAAAAATAAAGGTATATTATGAATGACAGAAATGATATGAATATGTAGGAAATGAGTTTTTTTTCAGAGATATGTGCAGGAAGATCATCTGTCTTTTGAGAGAAAAAATGTTTGGGTAGGCATGAATTGGTAGAATTAAGGGATCATCTGCCAATAAGCATATATTTTTGTTTTTTAAAAGCTAGTAATGGTATAACATATGAAGATGGTGATATTTTTAAAATGATTGTGGCCCATATAGTTTAACAATTGCACTCCTTTTGATCTATAGTTATTCCCCAGGTGAAGTGAGCTATTTGCATAACATTTTTGAATGGGGTAAGGGGGGGAAATATTTGTTCACCATTCTCAAAGTTTAACCTTTGAATTCTCTAAACCGATCCGGATGATGTTACGTTCCCATCATGGAAAATCTGGGTCGAGGTCTGGGTGAAGTGAACATGCCATCATTGGGTAAAATAGCCGAGGACCGGGTGATGTGAACTTGCTGTAACGAGCGAAGGCCACGGTGACAGACTTGCCATGAGTGCTCAGACCTCATGGAGTATGATTTGACTCATTTGGCACTTACAAGGGGGCTTTAGTATTATTCCCATCGATAAATGAATATGGAATGTAATGTATGTAAGCTGTGACTGAAAGAGCGCCAGCTCCAGGGGGAACATCATTTGCATGCTGCACACCATATTCCTGGCTGCTGTGACCGATGACGCAGGTTGTATTATGGAAAATTGAAAATTACAAAAAAATAAGATACATACCACATACAACTAAATGTTCCATACTTTTTTTCTTGCCCAGTTATTTACTACGTAGGGAAATAATATAGAGTCTGTACAAGGAAAATAAGCAATTAGCATCTGGATAAACCAAATCAAAAGACAGATATGGACATTGGCAAAAAGGCAAAAAAAAGTTAGCACTAAATCACTTTACAAAGGTGGGCACAGAGTCTTGTCACCTCTCATGGGTGTTCGTGTGTGCCATCCCTGCGCACCACATGCCTGGGATGTTGGCTACTTGTATAACCCACTGCCTGTATTTTCGGCACCGTGATTTCCGTGATGCTACTGTATCCAACAGGTTAAGTAACCACTTAAATAATTATTGTTGGAATTGATTTTGGTACATCTTTTCTAACAGTTTCATTATTCCTTTCAGTGGGAGGCGAAGGTGGAGAGAAGCCAGGAGGAGTTTGACCGTATCTCTCGAGCCATCAAGAAGGAGATGGAACAGTTTGATATAGTGAGAGTGAAAGATTTCAAAGACATGTTGGTGAAGTACTTGGAAGCTTTGATGACCTCTCAGCAGCAGGTGAATAAATGTATTCTGTTCATATCAACACAGTTTTGTGGGGCCAAACATTTTGTTTTATTCAGTATACTTATTCAACTTTAAAGTCCATACTGGGTTATCTGTGAGCCCTGTAATTTTATTGATTACTTCCAAAAAAATTTGTGTTTTGATAGAACACTTCCATAACTTGAGCAAATGGAATTAATTATGTTTTACTACAGATAAAGAAAGTTTCACTAGTAGTTTGTTATTAATTGTGTATACAGAGCCTTTCAATTATCATTTTATTCATTCTTTCCAGATAATCAAAGTATGGGAGACATTCCTCCCAGAAGCAAGGGCTATTTCGTAGAGGATCTGCTGAATGCCTTGAATTAAAGAGTTACGGCTGTAAATTGCTGAAGAGTGGAAATATTGGTGATGGAGTTTCACTTTCCAATTTATGCACTCTTCCTTTTTTTTCCTTTTTTTTTTCTTTTAGCATTAGCCGATGTCAGAATCTTGTTCTTTTTGTTTTTATTTATTTTTTATCCTTTTTATATGTATACAGCCATTTCCCAGTGATTAAAGTTTTTAAGCATTCCTCCAAATTATTATTTTCTCGTTTTTTCTTTTTCTTTGTCAATGTTTGAAGACGACAAAATGCATCTTTCTTGCTTAAAATGATTATAATGCAACCATTCCTAGATGTTTATAAAAGATTTGCTTGTTGATATTTTAAGATATTTGGAACATATATTTTTTCTCCATTTGAAATGCTAATGGAAAAGTGAAACTAGCATTAATCCAGAATATCAGGTATGAGTGCTTTAAAAATATCTTGTTTTTGTAGAACAATATATATATGTATCTCCTTGCAAAAGATGTATGATTCTTCATTCTTATAGAGCTTCTGATAGATTTTTTTTTACCCACAGACTACCCATTCATAAAAATAAAGCTTACAATAACGTCCACTTTTAACCTTATTACTGCAAGATGGTCTGGTGTCGGAAACCATGAATGGTCATCTAATGGTGTTTCAGTGAGGGGATGAAAGCTGAAAGTGTGGTGTGTCTGGGCCAGTTTGTTATTTATTGTTCAGTTTTGAATGAAGAAAAAGATCTGAGTATGAACACATTATCAATGTTGAAAGGTGAAATGTGATCCGACAAATTAAGAGCTTACATTGCTATGTGGTAATTAAGTGCAGTTAATTAGATGTGCTCTTTTTTTGTGGTATTTCCTTTTTTTTTATTTACGTAAACCACTTTTGATGTATTTTTCCAGAATGAAAAAACAACAACATTGTATTGTATCACATAGGGTGCACTTAGGATGTTTGTGAATAAGTTAAGATTAAACTTTTTTTTATGAGGGGGTAATGTATTTTTCAGCATTTTATTGCTCTTAGCTTGTTTTGCGTCTCCAGAAAAAAAAAAGATGGAGGGGAAATTTGATTTACTTCAGCTACCCCTTTTCCCATTAGATTAAGGCATACTTTGATTCTTTGGGATTATTTTGTTATATATGTAAAACCAAGTTGGTATTCGCTGAAACCTTGTGTCATTCGATCTATGGTTTTGAATGCTCAGGTTTATACTTTATTTTTTGTCTTTAGAAAAGTAAAATCTGTGCTGAAATTGATTGTACAGTATATATATGTATATGATTGATCACTCAAAAAATTATTTAAGGTGATTTGTGTTTTAATTTTCCCTGAAGTTTCATTTAGATATTAAAAAATGGTAATTATGCCCTCTTTTTAAGGGATCTACCTTAAAAAGGTTTTTCTTAATGCAGTTTTGCTTCTTGTATATTTTAGGCGTGATGTACCTCATATACCACATATTGTTATTTATAAAGAAGATGAAAGCCTTGAAAATGTGGACATTTACCATCAGCTTAATTCAGTTCTTAATTTGCTTTAAGATAAAGGTCATCAGATTACTTTTTATGTTGCCATGTAGGTTAATAAGCTCATGAAATTAAGAGATTGTACCTTCGTGGGGAAGTTACAGCATTCATGGTGCTAATTTGAAGTTTGTAAAGAGTATCTGCAAGAGAGTCTAGACGTGCTCTTCGTCATAATTAGCATGAATGTGTCATCTTTTGACTGAATATTCCTAAGTTAATATATTCACGAATATTTCAAAGTAAATATATTTTCAAAAGCATTAAAAGTTTCTTGAAAGGGATATTTCAGAATTACAGAACATGTCATGTTTTTCCAAATACCTTAGAAATCAAAAGTTTATCATAAAAGTAAATGGTAGGTTTATGGTCACTGTTTTTCAGCAGAATATAAAAAAAACTTTATCCATTCCTGTTCCCCATCTTTAATCCTGCATTTTTATTTAGATTGAATTACTCTTCTACACACATTCATTTATAATAATAAAGGGCTTCGCTTTGTTTGATTAAGTGCCATTGTATGCTTGGTGCAAGGAGCAACCTGCAACAAATGGGCATTGTCTACTTCTACCCTGTCCTAGTTTTTCCTCGGGATATGGTATATTAAAGCTAGTTTAAATAACTTTAGGCCTAACAATGTAACTGACATGGTAGAATAATATTGCAAGGAGAAATTGCAGTACTGAGAACTGCATATGATTTCTTTGTATTGATGTTTCTTAGTCCACGATTTGAATATCTAATGTCTTTGATTGCTAAAACTTATAATTATCTTTGCATATTTTTGTCCGTTGATGTAAACAAATAGTTGTATATTTTCCTGATACTGGAATTCAGGACCATTGCTGGCTGTAAATATTGGGATATAAAGCATTTATAGAAATATTATAATTTTATTTTAGCTGAAAGGAAACACTGTGCTTTACAAAGAAGGTCAGGTCATGATAAAATGATTATACTGAAATTCTTCACCAACAGCTGTTTTCACAATTTTTGATATTATGTATGTAATCATTTGGTATGATAAAACAATGCAGTGGTTCATCATACTTCTAATCTCTATGATAGAAAGTTCACTGGTTATTAGATTCAAAATTAACAGCTCAATATTCCAAACAGTATGGATAACAGATTCATTAACAGAAGCAGAAGTAGCAGACCTTTTGCTTATCATTCAAAGTGTACAGATTTGTTCTTGCATATCTCTGTAATGTTATTCATGAAATTGTAAGAGATTTTTAGATGATATTCAGCTAGGAATGGAATATTGTATTGTATCTGTGATGGAGACCGTTCTGCTTGTGACTTTTTGAAGAAGTAAAATTGGTGAGAGCAACAATATAATACAGATTTTTGTTTATTGGATCATACTTTCACACTGCATCCACGTAAGCTGAAACATTATTTTTTCCTATTTCGTTTTCTTCACATTAAAAAAAATTGCCTTTTTTATTGCACCTGACTACAGTCCTCCAGCCTAAAAAAAAAAAAAAAAAAAAATACAGGATAAGAGTGAGAGCAAAAGAGAACAAAAGTTGAAATAAAAACTGAAGTCTGTTTCTTCACCTAATAAAGAGTGGATGGGATAAATTTACCACATTTTCCTTTATCACTAAAAAAACAAAACCAGCAGGGCGTGAGGCAAACTCTTTAAGGAAGAAAGAAAGAAACACGTGATATTATTGCCCGCTACACTAAAGAATCACGGCCATCGAACATTACATTTTGTGCATCTGTACATTTAGTCAAAAGCAGAGAACCATGCATGCATATAATATCTGACAAAACATATCACATGTGAGGAATAGGTAGATCATATTTTTTCTAGATTTAAACAACAACCATCGTGTGTGTTCCTTTTGGAGAGACATTTTCTAACATGGGGAAAAATTCAAATACAAGTACACATACTTGAAGTCTTAGCTTAATCATGTTCATTTGAATTACAGATAAACTGTGATTTCCATTAATTATATAGAATCATATTCTTTTAAAACCAATTTTTGTCTTTTTGTATACATGAAGTTAATTTAAAGGGAAATCAAACATACATTATCATGCTGTTGAAAATGTAATAGCTTTGTGTGTAAAAAAGAAAGAAAGAAAAAATCTGAAAGGCAAGTACCAAAGAGAGATAAAAATGTATGTTCACGGTATGAAAAGAGGGTGGGTCCTAGAATATGGTCATGGTTGGTAACTGGTTGTTGGTATGGTTGAGTATCGGGCTGCTACCAAGGCAATAACAGGACACACCATCTTCCCAGTTTTAAATAAAACAAAATTCCAATCTAAGAGGAAGTTAATTTAATCAGAAAAAATGGGTATAATTCAGATTAATTTACAAGTGAATCAGTTACCTTCCAGAACAGTACATTACACATATACAAAGTTTATTGATGTTTTGAGTGAAATTTGAATAACAGAGTTTACTGAGTAATGGAGAATCACATGGCTAAGTGATATAAACTGTTTCAGATAAAATTCAGCATTACTGTATAACTTTGACCAGAAAAACAACATTGGATTGCAACATTTCTAGAAGTTTATTTTTGAATGCAGAACAATTTTCGGCTTAGACTTTATGTGTACAAAGAATTTTTAAGCAATTTATTTTTTCTGTCCACACAACAATGGTTGTATAAATTACTGATTGTTACACAGAAGTCAAAAGGATTTGCATATAGAAAACAAGAGAGGATGCACATAAAGATATGACTGATGTATAAACATACATCTAAAAAGAAAATTTGTGTATTCCCTCAAATAAAAAGATATCACAGAAAATATTTAGAGAAATCCGTACACTAAAATACAGTGGGTAATAACAGAATAAATGCTTACAATATATTCACAAAAATATTTTTAATAATTATATTATTAGATAAAGCATAATGTGCTATACATTAACTTAACCTTAATTAAGTGTATTTGTATTTTTGTCTATCATACATAATTTAAATAATAACATTAAATTCTACTGAATTACGCTCTGTATCTGACTTAAAAGTGACCAGGTTTTAATGCTTTTAAATGACTACTCTACTTTCTTAAATGTCATTGTTTATATAATACTTCAGGATATCTTGAATCAGTGTGGAGTTAATTATGGTATTTTATATATATATATGTATGTATCTCACAATCAGAACTAGTATTTTGCATATATGTTCTAACAATCTTACTTATATCAGCTTTATTATCGGTCATAAGTAATATGAGATTACAGACACCAATTGGTCCAGAGTTCTGCCTCATGAGCTCTTATTGTAAACTTTGATCACACTGACAACAGTCATACAGCAAAGGGCCATGTCCATAGATCCAAGATCTGAAAATATTTCATCCTAATCCTTCTGATCTGCATTTACCATCTCCACTTTCATCCCCTTTCATATTTCTTGTTTTCATTTAGTCATCAACATTTTTACATTCACTTTTTCATCCCTCTTTTTTTTTTTTTAAAGAACTGAAAATCCTTCCTCTTCTCGCTTTCTCTCTTCCTCTTGGTCGTTTTCTCTTTCGTCAGCGTCCCTTCTCAGTCCAAGAATCCAGTGTTGACAAGCTTTTCCAGGAAGAACTTGACATCTCCGAGCTCTGAGTCCTTAATGCCCAAGGACTTAAGCATGCCGATGTCTCCGTTCTCCACAGCCATGAACACAGAACGCAGGTGCTCCACGTCGCTCTTCATCAGGTTCAGAGAGCGGCCGAACTCATCGATGGTCTGGGACTCTGCAATGGGGAGGGAAAGAATGATAAGAACGGGTGCTACTATATTCTATGTAGTGTTGATTCCTTGTTTATTCAAGCACTGATGTTAATAATGGTATACTTCAACTACTAAAATAATACATTGCTGTTACACTTCATGGTTATGGTTAGGAAAATTTGAGAAAACTATCATGCAACACAGGGAGTGACTTAAAATCTGTCTGGAAGTTACAGTTTTTGGGCAATGTCAAACTGCACTGTGCTGTTGTGTACTATACACTATATATAACATTTTGGAAAATGGTCACATCAATAAAAATGTATCTACTGAAAATAATATACCAATCTTAACACATAGCTGAATTAATACTTCAAGAGAAATGGAAAATTGCTATAAATAGAGAGGTTTTGAAGTGTCTTCTCAAGACAAGGACAGTGCTATGAATTGTCTTAGAACAAAGACTGCTATGAATTATCTTAGAACAAAGACTGCTATGAATTGTCTTAGAACAAAGACTGCTATGAATTGTCTACATATAACTAAGACAGTGCTATGAATTGTCTACTTAACCACAAAGTGCTATGAATTGTCTACCTAGAATAAAGACAGTGCTACGACTTATTTCTTCACGGCTAAGAAAATACTACTTATTTCCTAAATCAACCCTCTCACATCCAAGACACCTCACCTGAAAGAGCCACAGCCACCTGCTGCACGCCACCAAGGGGCTTCAGGGCATTGCGTGCCTTTGTACCGAAGAGCTTCTCCAGGTAGTTGGGGCCGTGGGAGGCGAGCAGGGACTGGAGGAAGGATGCGGTCTCCTCCACAGGTGGTCGCTTGGCTGTGAAGGAGGAAGGTGGATTAGATCTTGAGAGGTTGTAGTATGAACCGTATTCATGTTGACAAATGTGGAAAGGTATGAATGAGAACGAATATCTTCACAATACAAGAGATGTATTTAACCGGTTTCGATTATATCTTCGTCAGAAATACATGTATTTCTGACGAAGATATAATCGAAACCGGTTAAATACATCTCTTGTATTGTGAAGATATTCGTTCTCATTCATACCTTTCCACAAGGTTGTAGTATGTCTGTTTCTTTTAATAATGGGCTGTTAATGTTTAATGTTTGAAAATAAATGTGCTACACATCAGAGGTCATATAGCACGAATGGGCTGTTAAATGATGATCTTTCTGGGAATTGTATTGTGTAGTACCTGTATCTGAAGTCAAAATATGCTGCAATAATTATACTGATCTGATGAAGTTACTGCCAGGTAAAAGATCATTTTGACATATATACTCAGTGGGTATATTTTCTATAACATTACGGCACTGTCATAAAGTTATGAAAAAAGAAAGTTACATGATCAGTGCAAGCAAAGAATAACATCATAAATGAAAAAAAAAAATTGGTCGCGATAAATGGAACGTTGAGATGAAGCCCCCATGCGCTTCCAGCCAAGGTCTATTATTATTGGGAAAGGCTTGATCAGTAGCAACTCGAGGAGGTGTCATGGCGTCTGATTCTATTTTTGGGAAAAAGGGACATGGGGTTTATTTTGATGACGTCACAAAAGTTACGGATGTTTTGTGAATATGGTCGATCATTTTGGTCTCTTCAAATTTCAAAAAGGATGGAAAATAATGACTTTAACGGTTATATTTTCATTGAACAATCATCAACAGAATCTATGCCACCTCCTCGAGTTGCTACTGATCTTGCCTTTCCCGTCTAAATATAAGCATAAAGACCAGTGGTTCCCAACTTGTTTTTTTTCACGCGACCCCAATCATGAATTTCCAGGCATGACCGCGACTCCAATCTGTTCTACAGTGCATAGGCTTATATCATATTCACATATTTATATTATTCAATAAACATATACATAACTCTATAAACAAAAATCCTTAATTACGATTATATTTTCTTTAGTTTGAGTTTCACCAGAATTCAGCGGATTTTTTTTTTCGACAGCATCTTTAATTAGTGTGTAATAATCAAACAAAAATTTTGCCAATAGCTTTCAATCAGTGTGATTACGTATTTGCTGAAAACATTTCAAAATTGACAATTGACCACGCCTGATATCTTGAGGGCTTGGCGACCCAGGGTTGACAAAAGCTGCTATAAACTAGCCTTCCTTGCCTTACAACTGCGCGGTAACTTAATTTTAATAGCCCTGTAGCTCATTACATAGCTCGTGACGTCACTGCCAATTATTGTGAATCTCTAAGAAATGCACAATACTTTTGATGTATTTCTGTACTTTGAAGTTACATAAAAATTATACTAAAATCTGTATTTATCAAATGGTTATTCCTTACATACATGCTGTGTTCTATTTTATTATAAACGCACATTTTTTTGTATTTGAAATGCTTGTTTCAAACTTGCGCAAGCGCTGCCATCTACCGGCAAATTTGACAGTTTTGATACCACAGTACTCATTGCTCGTTCCAAATGTAAAGATTATTTACAGTGGTGTGTTTCCGAATTCTTTCCCGGCATTACAGTGAAACCGATCGGTCCCATACTGAAATTATTACGATCTCCAGGATAGGAATCAACGATGAAATAGAAAAAAACGTGTTCTAGCTGCAGAAACACGTCAGTGCTTCGTCCCATCCCAGCCACCCACGCGCCGGCCATAAGGTAAACCCTTTTTTTAAATCTTTAAATGTAGACCTATAGGCGTTGGCGATCGTAAGGGGGTTCGGGGAAATATGGCGATCGAGAAGGGGGTATTTAGTTCACACGGAAACCTGGTAATCTGTGGTAATTTGTGCGTATAGGATGGGGTTCATTCGCTCGTTCGGTCGCGCTGTGTCGGATCTTCCCTGGTCGAATCTTCGCTCGGTTTTTTATTTTTTATTTTTTATTTTCCACCTTTTACGTTACATGAAATGCGATTCCTGGCTAGGGTTTCATTTTTTTTTACACTTTAACTCTTTGAAATACCTGTTATGAGATGAAATCGGGCTATGAGTTGGGGAATCAGTGGCCATGTTGGAAATAATTACCACCATAATCTATTTAGCCTTTAATCTGGATCATTTTATATAAAACACCTACACATTACGAGATCTAAGAACCCTATTAACACCCACACCTAGAACTCCTTTTCTTAATTTGTTCTCGGGAAGAATTCCTTGTTAAATTTCCTTTGGCATAAATTGTTCTTCTAAGCGAGTTCACAAATGACTTTCGAGAACGTCTTCGTCTAAGTGGTTCTCCAGAGCGCTGGTTTTCATTAATGTTTTCAACCAAATAGCAATTCGGTAACTGGTACATTCTTCCACGCCCATTTTTTTTCGAGAAATTCGTCTTATATTACAGTTGTATTTCAGTTAATCCTTACATTAGAGAACATGAATCTACACTCACACTTATCCTTATACACACTCACTCAATTTTACCCTCACACACTCATCCAAACTACTAACTCACTCAACACACTCATCCTTAGGCCTACCCTCACGCTCATCAAAACTACTCACTTACTCACCCTTACCCTCATACGCACTTATCAACACACTCATTCACCCTTACCCTCATACACACCCATTCATCCTTGTCCTCATATACACTCATCCTTACCCTCACACTCATCAAAAACTTTACTCACTCACCGCACTCATACACACTCATCACACACTTTCACCTATACTCATCAACACACTCACTCACCCTTATCCTCATACACACTCAACAAACTCACTCACCCATATCCTCATACACACTCACCCATACCCTCATACACACTCAACAAACTCACTCACCCATACCCTCATACACACTCACCCATCCCCTCATACACACTTCACCATACCCTCATACACACTCACCCATCCCTCATACACACTCACCCATCCCCTCATACACACTCATCACTCACCCACCCCACCTCAACCCATACCCCCATACACACTCATCAACACGCCACACAGGACACTCACCTGCAGTACACAGCTGGAGGTTCTCATCGTAGCCATCGGGGCAGTCGGGGGCGCCGTCGCAAAGGTACTGGATTGAGATGCACACGTGGCCTCCAGGACACCGGAAGGGCTCATAAGCAGCGCACTCTCTCTCTGTTGGAGGGGGAGAAAAGAAAGTTTATTTATGAGTTTTTTTTTTTCCTGTGGTTTGATGATAGGTTGGTGGTTTGTCGTATATTTATTTTGAGGGTTTGAGGGTTTTTTTTTTTTTTTGGTGTGTTTTGGATACGTTGGTAGGTTGTCGTATATTCATTCTGAGGGTTTTAGTTTTTTTTTTCTAAGTGTGTTTTGACTTCATGGTGGTTTATCGTATATTCTGAGTATTTTTCTAGGTGTGTTTTGGATACGTTGGTGGTTTATCGTTTATTTATTCTGAGGATTTGTGTTTTTTTTAAAGTGTGGTTTGACTATACGTTGGTGGTTTATCGTATATTCTGAGTTTTTTTCTAGGTGTGTTTTGGATACGTTGGTGGTTTTTCGTTTCGTTATTCTGAGGGTTTGTGTTTTTTTTAAGTGTGTTTTGACTTCGTTGGTGGTTTTGCTGTTGGGTTGAGATGGTTTGGATATGTGTGTGGAGTTGGATGTGTGGAAACTGAATAATAAGTGTAAAACATGTGTATTTTATGGGGTTCAGTCATGTTAATCTGCGAATTTAAACAACATTATGTATCAGTATAATGTATGATGGCAACGGGAAATATAACATTAAATAAAAAGATGGAGAGCGAGATATAGGAAATGATAGATAAAGAATAGATATGTAAAACATGAAAATGCCCCCGAAAATCCTCTGTATACTAACAACTAATTGTGAAAAGCGGTAGAAAATGTGTAAAATATTTACCTTATTATCATAAATGGCAAATAAAAGAGCCTTCAGGGTTGACTACACCAGAAATGTAAAGTAATTCCAATTTACTGCGTATGTATCATATTCAGTCTTTACTTAAAATCTAATACAGCCTAAACTGGAACCTATTAAACTAATGCCTAAATCCAGGTTTAAAAGGAGTACATCTTTTAGCCAGACCACTAAGTCTGTATTAACTAAAAGCCTTTTGTCATACGAGTATTTTTTTTCAAGAGAATTCCTTTTCTCAAGTAGTTCTCGGGAATGACCCCGTGTAAAAGTTCCTTCCGCATAAATTGTTCAAATTGTTCTTCTATGCGTGTTCACAAATGACTTCAGAGAACATCTACGTCTAAGTGGTTCTCCAGAGCGCCGGCTTTCATTAATCTTTAAACCAAGAAGCAGCGTTTTATTGGTATATCCTCACGCACCCAAATCTTACTTTGAAAAAAAAAAGAAATCGCTTTAAAATGAAATCAGATTTGTATATCAAATAATCCTTAAATTAACCTTGCACCGCGTTCCCAAAACAAGGTTAAACATAACAAAATGTTGCTGAATAACCGCCAGAACACGAACGAAAAAGGCGACACCGCCATCAAAGCCAAACGACAATTTCAACATATCCATTTGCGCCGAATTTGAAATGCAAAACGACTCATTTTCCTTCCCGAGAAAAGCAAATGGCATTTTTTAAGAGCGACCGTTATTCTTGGAACGCGGGTCCGTTTGAACGTGTCAGGCGGCGCTCGCCTACAACTCCGCCGCGGTTCATGAATGCCAATTTGTGTGAGGGAAAGAAAGGGAGATGTATTCATCAGCGGCTCCGAGACTCACATGCAAGTCGGAAGTTAATTCCAGGTCTGTTTGAAATCCAAATGTTAAACACGCTTGAGGTCAGTGACTAGGGAGTGTTCTGGGAAGGTAACTGTGGGGACACACACACGGACGCGCGCACAACATACACACACAAATACACACACGCATATATACACATATACACATACGTACACACACACACACACGCGCACACACACGCACACACACACACACACACACACACACACACACACACACACACACACACACACACACACACACACACACACACACACACACACACACACACACACACACACACAACACACACACACACACACACACACACACACACACACACACACACACACACACACACACACACACACACACATATTATATATATATATATATATATATATATATATATTGTATATGTATGTATGTAATATATATACATATACATATAATACATATACACATATATATATATATATATATATATATATATATAATATACACACATACATACATACATGTATATATATATATATATATATATATATATATATATATGTATATGTATGTCTGTATGTGTGTGTGTGTGTGTGTGTGTGTGTGTGTGTGTGTGTGTGTGTGTGTGTGTGTGTGTGTGTGTGTTTGTAAGCGTGCGTCCGGCCACCCGACCGAGCCGCCCGACCGGCGGCGCTCTTAAGCCCAGGCGCGCATGCATAATCCATAAGAAGAAGAAGAAGAAAAAAAAAGCCCGCCACGGGTCCCGGCAGGTATCGTGATAGGTCAGGGCGGGATCGATGGCCTCACGTGGCGCCGGCAGCCATTAGCCGCTCGGTCCCCGCTCCGAAACCGCCGACCGAATTCCGACGGAGCGCAGCGGAGGGGGGGGGAGGGGTTGTTGTTGTTGGTGGTGTGGTGTGTTGTTGTTGGTGTTTGTTGTTATTGTTTTGTTGGCAGTTGTTGTTATTATTGTTTTGTTGTTTGTGCGGGTGTTGTTGTTGTTTGGTTATTGTTTGTTATGTTATTCTTGTTGTTTGGTTATTGTTGTTTATATTGTTGTTGTTGGTTATTGTATTATTGTTGTTGCTTATTGTTTGTTGGCGGTTGTTATTTTCTATTGTTGTTGGTGGGTATCATCCCCTTTTATCATAATTGTCACTTATTGTCATTTCATTGTTTATTGTGTCAGTATTTTTGCAGTATATTTAAAAAAAAAAAAAGAAAGTTATGCAAACTTTATACATAGAAAAATGTATACATTAACGGCAAGGCGGTTTATGTATAAGTGCGTTGAAGAGAGAAAATTGCAAGATCATTTTATAAAGAGCTCGCATTTATGGTTGCAATAACAATAACGTTATCCATGCAAGTTTATATATAAAAGAAGGGTTATTGCTGTAATGTTTATAACACGGTCGGATTTTATCTTTGTAAGGTAGGTGCAGCGGTTATGATAATGATAGTGGTGATGGTGATGATGACGATGGGGATAACGGTGGTGATGATGAGGGTGATGATGATGATGATGATGGGTGATAATGATGATAATGATGATGATAGTGGTGGTGTGTGATGTGGGATGACGATGGTGATGACGGTGATGATGACGACGGTGATGATGGTGATGATGATGGTGATGATAATAATGGTGATGCTAATAATGGCAATAGAGCTCAGCGGATCAGGAATCCCCCTCCCAATTTGTATCATCAACATCAATGCAGATATTGATATTAGATAGATCTGGTCGGAGGAAACTCGGTACCATTCAACGTATGGTGATAGTCCTACGTAGCAGCTAAGTGCTCACCGGGGCGAATAGAGTGAATTTTAAAAGAGCCACGAAATGGGGCTTTTGACGTAGGCTTAGAACGAGAGGCTGGGCCAAGGGGCTTTTGACGTAGGCTTAGAACGAGAGGCTTTTTGACGTAGGCTTAGAACGAGAGGCTGGGCCATGGGCTTTTGACGTAGGCTTAGAACGAGAGGCTGGGCCGAGGGGCTTTGACGTAGGCTTAGAACGAGAGCTGGGCCATGGGCTTTTGACGTAGGCTTAGAACGAAGGCTGGCCAT